CTTCCCACCCCGGGGTCTCACCATATCCGCAAGGGCCGAGATCACCTTCCCTAGAGTAGTCAGTGACTTATTGATGTTGGCACCTTCCTGGAAAGGGATGAGAACATGGGGAATGAGGCCCTCCTCTCCCACTCCAATCCACTTCTCCTTCCTCCTCCCCGCGAGATTCCCAGGTTATGATCAGAGACCACCACACACAGCGCCCAACACTGTCTCTGTCCGTCCCTCCTAAGCCCCCTTACCTTAAGGCGCATGCCCCGGGCCCCCGAGGAGTCGGCCCGCTCACTTCCAGCAAGGTCCACCAAACTGATCTTACTAACCTGGGTCAGAGGAAAGAGGCAGGAGGTGACTGGGGTCGGTGGGGGCAGGGCAAACAAATCGGAAGAACACCCAGCAAGAGAACTGAACAGTTGGCAAGAGATGGAGAAAGCCAGGAGGTGGCGAAGGAAGTGGACAGGAGAAAGTGGAATACATAAAGACAACAGTGAGAGGTTGGTTATTCATCCATTTGTTCATTTACAGATATTGACATGCCCACTATGTGCTAGGACAAGGGACAAAGTGGGATCCAAGCCCTGCCCTGAGAAGTCTAGTAAGAAACAAAAAAGTACACAGGAGATTGTATCACCCTGATCCGAAGGAGAAGCAGAGGGGCTGTGGAACCCCGAGGAGGCACTCAACCCAACATGTGTGGGGAGAGAGGACAAGGCCCTTCCATCACACCACTGTCCCTGTTACCAGGTGGGGATGGGAGAGGGTCCCACCTTCTCTGAGTCCAGTCCAGTGAGCTGGTCATGGCAGCGCTGTGTGAAGACAATGGTGAAGACGGCATGGGAACGGCTGCTGGTCTCATTCATGTTGGTGGCGGCCACAGTCCTGCAGGGAGGGAGTGGTCACTGGGTCTCGCCTCTCACCTTCCTAACCCTGGCTCCCTTTCCCTCCACTCCATCAGCCCGCCTCACCGCGCCTTATTCCCACAGTCCATGAGGTCGGCAATGTCTGCGTAGGAGGTCACAGCCAATTTAGACAGGTCCTGCACATAGGGGCCCAGGATGGGGTGCTCCCGGACACGCAGAGAGCCCCGACTCTTAGGGTTCAAGAGGTCTCGTACCCGCTCACAATAAATCTCCATATAGCTCACCTGAGTGAGAAGTAAGAAGTGACAAAGCCAGCAATAATACCAAAGATGGAACTTGACCTGAACTCCCCCAGATGCGACACAGCAAAGTGCAGCTAATGTTCACTGAGTGTTTACTGTGCCCCACACACGGCACTAAGCATTTTGCATATGTGAGCTCACTGATCCTCCCAACAACCCTAGGAAAGATCCGATCATTATCATTTCACAGATAAACATACTCAGCAGCTGAGAGATGAAATCATCCACTCAAAGCCACAGTTAGTAACCAGCAGAGCCAGGAGTAGATCCCTTGCTGTCTGACTGAGACTGTTCTTGCTGTTAATCACTCTGCTCTCCCCTTCCCTGCCCTCGGGACACTGTGCCCAGTTCCCCACCAAGACCTGGGCTTACCTCCACGGAATAGGATAGCTGAGCGCTCTGGTTCTTACTAACACGAGAGAAGAGGTCCTCACAGAGCTGGAGGGGGACACAGAGAAGCTGCTGTTCATGGCGCACCTGTGGCACCCAGCACCAGGCCAGGCCCTGTCTCAGGTGACCCTGTTTAACCCTTACCACAGCTTTGAGGGAGGGATCATTCCCATTTTACAGATGGGAAAACAACCTTAGAGAGGGTCACACTTGCCCAGGGTCACAGCCTAGTATTCGGTAGGCCAGGATGCAACCCGAGCATCCTGACTCCAGAGCCTGTGTGCAAGGCCACTCTGCTGCACAGACAGGGAGAATTATGGTCAATTCTCAGTTATCCACAACCGGCTTTTTCTATAGTCAACACCTTGACTATGGTACACGAGCCTACAGAAGAACTACACTCACAAATAATTACCAGATAAGAGAAAGTAGCAGTAAACAATGGAAAAGCAAGGATCAAACGCAGGGCTCTCTGATGCCAAAGCTTTGGCTCTTCTCGCTGAGCCTGTTGCCTCTGGTGGGGGCAAAGACCCCCCTCCCCAAAGGGCTCTGATATCCAGATTGCAGCCAACCTCTCTCCCCCATCACATTCCCTGTCACTAACAGCCTCAGAAAGCCAGGTCTCTGCTCCACAACCCTTAGACCCCTGGCCTTCCTCCGGTAGGGGCAGCTGAAGATGTTCCTGCCCTGGCTGCCCCACCAGGGCCCAACTTGTGTGTACCTGGGGCACAATGCCCTGCTGCCCCGGCTCCTGCCGCCCCATCATGGTGTAGGATTTCCCAGCCCCGGTCTGCCCATAGGCAAAGATGCACACATTGTAGCCTTCAAAAGCGTGGAGCAGCATCTCTTCTCCAATGTCCCGATATACCTGTTGCTGAGATGCAAACTGGGGGTCCTCGGCCTAGGTGAAAGGGGGGCAGAGAAAGACAGCAAGAGCCCTAGATGACTTTGTCCTGAATGTCTAGGCCCCGAGAGTCTTGTCCCCATCCCTGATGACTGTCCAAAGGTCCTGTGTGCTCCCCAAGCCCCATCCCCATCATGGTAATCACCCCTGAGGATCCTAGCCAGTCTCTTGCCTGTCCTAATTATCCCAAGGAATTCTGCTTCCCTCATCCTGTTCCCAGTCACAACGCATGGGCTCTACCCACCCCCACCCAGGGGTCCTGGTTCTCCCAACCCATCCCCTGGTGGTCTGATTTCCCAGCAATGCCTCCTCCCCAGGACCTAAATCCCCTGTCCCTCATTACTTAGCTCTCCCCCTAACCCAATAACCTCACCGAAGTGTGTGACCAGTAGGAGTAGTCGAAGGTGAAGCTTTTGGGGGCATCCTTGCTCTGTTTGGGATTGATGATGGCTGAGGGGACAGGAGAGGGCAAAGGAAGGAAGGCCAAGGTCAGGTATTCCCAGCCTCTGCCCTCTCCCTCCAAGCCCCTGGAATCCACGCATCCCACTCCCCACCTCTGTCCTAGTTCATCTCTCCCCTTTAATATTCCCCACCCCCTCCAGCTACCAAAGCTAATTTTGGCTTCCCAGGACCCGCCCCCCACCGGGCTGCCTCCCTGGATTGGGCAATGGAGGGCTGAAGGCCAACATTCCCCCTCCCAGGGACTGGGAACATAGAAAGGCCAGCCTGCCCCAGCCCCCGCCCTTACAACTAGCACCTGCTCTTCGCCCAGCACAGCCCTCCTCCCGGTTCGGCCCAGGAGGACGGGCATGCGTGGTGGGCCTGCCCTGCCCTGCCTGTGCCCAGCCAGGCCCCTGGGACTCACTCACAGGTGGTGCTGCCCTGCATGCTGACCACACACTTGGCATCCTGGCTGGTCTCACGAGCGTTGAAGGGCCGAACCCTCACTGCCACTTTCACCGAGGCGCCAGCCATGGCTCCAGATACTCCTACCCTCCTCAGCTGGAGAACAGAAACAGAAGAGGTGGTCAGAGCCGGTGGGGGGACCCAGACATTGCCTCCCAGCTTCTCTCAAGAACCAGTCTCTCCATCCCCCTTCCCAGCCACCCAGCCCCTCAAGGACCCAGTTCCTGTTCCCCTGGCCTTCCTCCCAAATGTCACTCTCCTCAGGGACTCCCGAGGTGGTCCTGCCTCTCTCCCCAGTCATATCCCAGCTCACAGGGACCTGGGTCGTCACCCCAGAGTTACCTGGCGTCCTGGCCCCAGACCAGGGGCGCTGTATCAGTTCTGGCTGCCACCGGCCCTCGTAGGAGGAGCCCCATCCTACACTTGGGGCCTGGCCACGCCAGCTGGGGCTGTGGGGAAAACCCTGGTTGTGGGGGAAGAATGGTTAGGAGGCACCTGTGGCTCCAGAGGTGTGTCTGGGTTCCGCAGTGGGAGAGCAAGGGGTGGGGGGTAACGTTAGCAAAGATAAGGGTGGCTGTCCCTCTGGAGTGGCCGAATCCAATGTGAATCCAAGGACAGGAACAGTGATATTTTTATTCCTCGTCACTCACAAGTGTACTGAACGTTCAGATAGAGAAGACAGAGAGAAAGTGGACAGAGTGCAATTCAGAGAGGGACACATGGGCAGAGACACTGAGGGTAGCAGGAAGGGGGAGAGGAGGGGCAGAAAGTCAGAGACACCAAGAAAATGAGAGACACAAGAGAGAAGGCAAGATTGAGGTCACGCCATGAAGGAAATAACGGGAGGAAGAAAACAGGAGAAACACAGAGGAGAGCAAACACAGAAACGTTAAACAGGCAGGAAGACGAGTTCTGGGGCAAAAGCACAAATCAGGAGCCCAGAAGAGAAATGAGAGGAGAGAAAACCCCAAACATAAAACCTGCCCTAAAATTCCCCCAGAGGGTCAGCCAGGGAGAAGAAGAAACCAGCTCCCAACTAGGACCCACAACCTCCACACAGAGGGAGGGACTGCTGATGGGCAAAGTCCAACGGCTGGAGATACAGCCCAGGACTGAGATCCACAGGGCCTGCCTGTGGGCCCCAAACCCCTTGCCCAGCCCCCAGCACTTCCTCCTCAGGATCCAGGACAATGGGCAGGGGAGGGTGGGGTCATCCTGCATCCCTCATACCAACCCCAGGGCTCCTCTGTTGAGGGATTCACAATATCACCTCTTTATGGGAAAGGAAGATAGCACAGGGATCTCCATGCAAGGGGAGAGAAAGGAAAGGAACCAAGCAAGTCCCAGCCCCAGGCTGGGGCTAGTGCTATGGCGTCCACTGCCCTGGGGAAGGTGCCAGGCTGGAGCCTAGGAATGTGGGTGATCAGGTGCCCACACCCTGAGAGGAGAGGCTGAGTAGCACACGCCCACGGACAGCAGGGTGGAGAGTTGGGAAGAGGGATCAGGGATGCTGGGCCCCCTTCTGTAGCCCCAAAGGACCTCAAACCCCTGTCATGCCCGGCCTCACCTCACCAGCCTTCCTGGGCAGGGCATGGGAGGGGTGAGAGAGCCGGTCTGTCCCAGGACAGGAAGGGAGTAGGTGAAATCACAGAGGCTGTCTCAGGAAGAACAGCCCTGACCCCCAGACCCTGACCAGGGGAGGGAAAGCACACTGATGGGAACACGCAATGGTGACGCCGTTGCGGCTAATGGGGCAGGGAATGGGATGGCACGGCTGGGGGACAGCAGGGTAAAAGACTAGGGAACAGGTACAGAGGTCGGCCGGTGCCGCGTCAAGGAGCAGTGGGGTACAGGATGAGCCGCGGCTGGGGGGGTGCCGACCGACCCGGCAGTTCTCACACAGGCCCCCGTCCCGGCCTCTCTGGGCGGCCATGCGGACCCTGTCCTCCTGACCAGCCAACCGACGGCCGCCCCGGGCCTGGCACCTCTCTGCGCCTCCGCGGGACAAACAGCACATGATCCCGGCTCTCGCGGCCAGCCGGCCCCCGCCGGGTCGTGCAAACGGGGACCCCGACTCCCCGCCCCGCAGCCCGGCACATTCCTCCGCTGGCGTCCCCTCCCTCACCCCCCCTCTCCCCCAGCTCTCACCTCGTCGCGGCGGGGCTCCCGGCGCGGCTGGGCAGAGCGCAAAGGGACAAACTTTCCGGGAAGCGTGAGACGGGAGCGGGGGAGATCCGGGGCCGG